CCGCACATATGGATTTAATGTGACTTGCGGTACCGCACATATCGTCCCGTTGCTGTGCCGCTGCCGCTGCCGTCCCGCACATATGGATTGTCACCTTAAGGGAGCGGTCACTTCCGCACGCCGCTGAGCTCTCGTGGCCTACAGGTTAAGGTCTTCGCCTTTTAAAAAGAAGAGCTATAGATGTATCCTTTGTTTCTCATTCTTGGCTCTATTTTCTCTAATCAGATTTCTCGAAATCCGTCCCTTTTTAAACCAAATGTATCTTATAACGACGGTTACTATCCCCTCCCCCCACCCCTTTTTTTTATTTGCCTCTGTATTTCTAAGTAGATGCTCCTATCTCTTAATCCGTCCTTTTTTCATACTAAAATATATATGTACAATAAGCAAATAGGCCTACAGCGCCTGGCGTTTGTGCATTAAATAAAACAGTACCGACTGTAAATAACAGATTTCTGTTTACAAATTACCCTGCTCTACAATCAGTCCAGAACGGGGCAATATTTGTGAGGCTGCGTGGGGAAATCAGGCGCTTGTCAACATTAGTTAAGAAACTGGCATTTTTCCGCAGGTTTAAAAAACAAATTAATTTTCGTTTTTTGGCTCAACACCTTTCATGTATATTAATTAGAACACATTTCTATGTGTATTTTATGAAAAACGTTGATTAAAGGCACAAAAATGTAAATTTTCAGTTTCCTAGAACTCTCAAGCTAAGGAAATAATTAAATTTTGGCGGCCATTTTCTCACTAATGTTACCCCTGAAACCAAGTTCCCCCTACCTCCTTCGTTCGTAAATATCTCGACTTCTATTCAAGACAAATTTATACTTTTAAAAAATCCAAAGCAAGACAAATGAACAAGCTTTAAGGTGATACCAATAAATAACTCTACATACCCAAAATTTGACGAGACCTGATTCCAACGTGTCGTGACACAAATTATCATTTAATAGATAACATTTGTATAGCGCTAGTCCCCGCTCTTCAACAAGCTCTATGCGCTTCACAATCTATACTATTACCCCAGCACACCTGAGAGCATTCTGAAACAACCTCAACTTCCTGGGAAGCATACAGTGCAAGCAGCCATCTATAGGCGCTAAAACACTAACATACTGACAAGATCTTTTGCTGTCTATGGCCGGGTACCCATTCTCACCTGGGTGAAGTGAGGAAAATTTGTGTAAAGTGCCTTTCCCAAG